TTTTTTTCAAGAATGAGTGAAGAATCCTATAGATTTCCTATTACAATCTAAATGACTGGGAATGTTTCTGACGTAATTAAAAAACAACTGGGGAACATGGACCATGATGGCTATCTTAAAATATTCTGTACAAGTAAAAGCCGTTAGGAAAATGTTCCTTAAATATTCACACACAGGTGCAATAAAAGGTCTGATTTTTCAGTTATCATCCCAAAAAAAGTTTTACAAAGCCAACCCTACTTATTTATTCCCATGAGGAGCAATGAGTACATTAGCTGCAAATGAGTCCATTAACAGATTTTGTGAAATAATTTTTTAAAAATTAAGAACTTGAACTCCTTTCCAAATAAAAAAAAAATACTGAAAATCAATCATGTAAATGAGAAAATAGATGCAAAAAGTTTTACTTTTAAATTGGTTTAATCTCTACACATATCTAGAATAAAACTGAAGATATTCTAACAAAGACATATCTAGATAAATATATATAAAGATGTATATATAAATACAAAAAGATATAAAGACATTCTAACAACCCCATAAAATGTTGATAGGTTTTTCCCTAAGGTCTTTTATACCTCACCCTACATTAATGTATTCCATCTCCATTTACCTGATCATTACCCTCCAGTTTGTTCAGCTGGAACCAACATACACTAATTACATAGACATCACCAAGTCCTATTTGCCCTCAGTATCTCCCCAGACAGCAGGAAAATATTATCAAGGGTAGGCATGCTAAGTGATGATTCCCCTCACCTTACTGTCATCCCAGAGTGCTCACAGGAAACCCCACTCAATCTCATTACTGAATCCTAAGGCTAAGACTACAATACTCACTAGGAATCATACTTCAAACAGCAGGCTGCCTGGCTAAGATGTGAGTCACAATGACTACTTCCCTGACTTAGGGTTTTGGTTTTAACGTAATAAATATCAGGTATTTCTCATTTAAATCCAATGTTATTATATACCGACAAAGCAACAAAATATTATTAAGTTCAATTTAAGCAACAAAATATTGTAAGTTCAATAATGAAAAGTTAAAATACAGAATCAATTTATTCCATTTTTTTAAAAAATCAAAACCCTGCCCAAGCCGGTATGGCGCAATGGCTGAGCGTCAACATATGAACCAGGAGGTCACTGTTTGATTCCCCATCAAGGCACATGCCTGGGTTGCAGGCTCGATCAATGGGGTGTCCAGAAGGCAGCCAATCAATGATTCTCTCTCATCACTGACGTTTCTACCTCTCTCTACCTCTCCCTTCCCATCAGAAATCAATAAAAATATATTTTAAAAATAATCAAAACCCTACCTTATAGGTCTGACACAGATATAACAATATTTTGCTATTTCTTGTGGAAAGACATATACTAGTCTTTTTTTTTTTTTTAAATGTAGATAGATAGTTATCGTAAAATTAAAGTTACCTAACATGCACTATGAGGAGTACAGCTAGCTCTAAATTCTCCTATTCTTTGCTTCTGCTATTCACTAAACTAAAGTAGAACTCACCTTCCCATTTAGACGAGATCGGGTGCGTTCAGGGTGGTATGGCCGTAGACTCCTTCCCATTTAGAAAGTTCTAGTCACTAAAAGCAAACACTCATTCCTTTTATTTCTTAACTTTTCTGGAACTATACCAATCACAACAGATTAGTGGGTTACAATCCTAGAATTCAATCCATCTCTCCCGCCTTCTAAGTCAATATTAACAAGACCCTCTTCAACAAATTAAGAAATTCTCCCAAATCAGCCCCTAATATCTAATGAATTTATTCCATAGACCTGACTCTTCCTGCTGCAAAATTTTATGGAGTGGTTCCAATTATTTCTACTTTTATAAGATATCATATTTTAATAACTGTTAAATTTTCCTCAAAATTTTCGAGGCCACTCTTGCACATTTATTTATCAATTCCCCCCACAAAAATTACATAATATTAGGATTTAGTAGAAAATGTAGATTTAGAAATAACTAGCACTTAAAATGTTCAGTTTCCCTATACCAGTGGTTGGTAAACTGCAGCTGGCGACCACATACGGCTCTCTGGCCCCTTGAGTATGGCTCTTCCACAAAATACCACGTGCAGTCGCGCACGTACAGTGCAACTGAAACTTCGTGGCCCATGCGCAGAAGTCAGTATTTTGTGAGCCACACTCAAGGGGCCAAAGAGCCGCATGTGGCTCGCGAGCCGCAGTTTGCCGACCACTGCCCTATACCAATCAATAAATCCTTATATAAGCCCTACAAATTTCATTCTAAATTCATATCATAAAATGTTTTTCTTTTCCATTAATTCTTTTCCATTCATTCTATGAAGTTACTTTTTTTTAAAGTTGCATTTTCTACCGTGTTAACATATACAAGAAAGCTATAGATTTTTTTATATTTAACTACCACAGAGATATTTCTTACTGTTTCTAAAGTTATTCAATTGACTAATTAGAAATCAATACATTCTTAATATTTATGCCTTTCCTGTCCACCATTTTGTAACTGCACTGCCTAACTGCATTACTGAACACTTGCAGAATGCTGGTAAATAACAGTGATAGTACGTGTATCAGTCTTCATCCTGACTTTCATGAGAATGATTCCTATGAGGTATAACCTCATTATGATAAGGTAGTATTCATCTAATTCTGTTTTACAAAGGATTTTACAAGGATAAGAAGTGAATTCCCTTTAAATGACATTTTATGTTTCTATCAAGATGGTCATATAGTTTTGCTCCACTAACCCATTAGAATATTCAACTTATAGTCTCTAATATTGAATCATATTGAAATGTCATGAATATACTCTGTATGATGGCAACATACTATTTAAGTAAATTATTTTATTCTACTCCATATTAATTTTCTATCAATATATAATAGTCATTATAATTTTATTTTTTGCTTACTATCTTTGCCCAGATTTTGAATCCTCAATTATTATACTGGCTTCATAAAAATGAAAATCTGTTTTTCTTTCTCTAAGTCTAGAACAATTTAAACAGTTTCAAAATGTCCTCCTTCCTGAAAATTGCAAAGAATTCTTATGAGAATCTCTTGGCCTGGACATTCTACTCCATTCGTTATATAATAACTTAAGAGTCCTTTGGTTAATGATTTCTTATCTTAGTCAGGCTCCTTCATGCACAGTTACAGGCCTATACATAATTACTTGGCAACAATTTTGTAAACTGAGTCAAACAAAATAACTGCTTAACATTTTTAAAGGATTAAAAGCATGTTAAACTCCACTGTAAGAATGGATAGAACAACCAAAGATCAACAGGAAATAGAAGACTTGAATATCGCAATGAACCAATCAGACCTAAAAGACATCTATAGAACACTCCACCCAACAAAGGCAGAATAGAGTAGACATTCTCCTTCACATGGCGCATTCTCCAGGATAAACCATAAAACATAAAAAAAGGCCATAAAGCAAACATCAAAAAACTTTAAAGGACAGAAATAATAGAGAACATGTTCTCCAACCAAAGCAGAAGAAAATTAGAAATTAGTAACAGAAAGAAATTTTGGAAACTCACAAATATGTGGAATTAAACAATACACTCCTAAATAACAAATGGGTCAAAGAATGTATTTTATATATATGTTGTTATCCATCCCAGCAGTAACCTCCATGAGAATACAACCTAGAGAATTAGTTATATTGTGGTATAAAAAAATAAGGAAAAGGTTATTGTCAGACTTGAAAAACAGAAATTGTGCACACTTCGAACATTTTTCTCTCTCACTTTATCCGTGAATAAAAATGCCTCCTGAGCTAATACTCTGAAAATAAACCCAAGATAAGAAGAATGAATTTTAAATCTATTAACTAGGTTGGTGGTGACATAAACTTTTTTTCTGGAGGATTTTAATGTTAATAAATGTCTTAGTTCACAGTCAAAAAAAACAGATTAAAGAGTAACAATTTTCTCATTATTTCATAAATATTCTCTGAAGAATATAAGCTACTAATGAAACTATTACAGTCAAAACAAATTAGTAAAGAAGCTGGAAACCAATATTTTAAAAAAAAACCAAACCATATATATGCAAATCAAGTTTATTTAATTTCTTTTAAAAGCTGAATATTTTTAAAGCTCCTATCAAATAAACTTGATAAATACTTAACCTTTTTTAGAAAATTAGAGTAGCTTGTAATTGTTTCCATTTTGTTTTTAGAAAAAAAAGTCACAATAAGGCAAAATGACCATACTTTCAGATAAAATAACTACAAAAATTAGTAATTCTTTGTGTTAAATTACTATACAATACAATTAAACATTACCAGTAAGTTTCATCATCAAAAGTAGTATACAAAAATGAAAAGCAGTAACTTACATTAAAGTACAATTACTTATATTTCACTCCATAAAGTTCTAATAATCTACATTCATTTCCCATGGGATTTTTTTCCTACTCATTCATAGTTCATCATTGCTTAAAAAAAAAAAAAAAAAAAAAAATGCTTGCTAAAAATCCTCAATAAAATTATCTATCATTCACTGCTTTATGCTATACTTTCTTTTGTTCGTGTCCAATTAGGATTAGCCTACCTTTCCTTTATCAAACTTTCAGCTGAACACAGGAAAGCACTCAGGAAGGTTAAACAATGACAGGAGTCCCCTAGTGATACTGGAGTCAGGCTGTGGGGAAATGTGCTCTCGTAAGGCAGCACTGCACTGACATTTCATTAATCTTTGAATCTAACTTCCTCATGCTTTACTTAAACCTACTAGGTGACCAGCAATCAGTCTAGCAATTTCATTCTATTAGGTTTTTAAAGCCTTGATAAAAACAGTTAAGACCTACATTATGACACTCCCCTTTTGCTTAAAAGGAGAGTGAGTACTTAAATAAAGTGTGTGTGTGTGTATGTGTGTGTACATGTTCCCTTTTCAGGTCACAGAGGGGAAAACTACATCTTTCACCTTTTTTCTATTTGACCCAAAATAAGGTTCTGATTCAAATAAAGCATAAATATACTTACAGAACTAGTATCAACATCACTGTGGATGGCGACCGTCTTAATGCCCATCTTCTTGCAAGTTTTAATAACCTATTTTAAAATATATCAATGTTATCTATTAACAGTGATTCACATTTAAAGGGATTTAGTAATAATAAAATTCACCAAGTAAAATGATAAGTAAAATTAAAATTCTACTTACCCTACACGCAATTTCTCCTCTATTAGCAACAAGAATTTTATCAAAAGTCTGAAGAGAGAAAACACACATAAGAAGATATTGTTACTCTCACTTTGGGACCAGAAAACAAGTTTTTCCACAACTGGATATGATCTTAATAAACATTACTTCGTAGAGTAGTACTAAATACTATATACATGTTCATTAAAAACAACCAGGTTGCTACTGAACTCATCTGTAGGATCTGGCTGTATAATTATTTTGTTAAAAAATCAGTTGAGGTTCAGTAATTCAGAAAGGGACCAAGGGGACATATATAAATTCTCTTGCCAAAAGATAACCTTTAAATGATATTTCAGAATATTAAAGACCTTTAGACAAAATTATTTGACAACTCAATTTATTTTCTAAATTCAGGGCAATTCTAAGTGTCATGAATTGTTTATCAAAGGAAAGTCACATATTCATATGCCATCTCTATTGGTTTGAGGCGGAGAATTAAACAATATTTTTAATAACTCAGAACAGATACAAATTATGCTTATATCCAAAGATTCCAAGCAGGTTATGCTATTTGAATACAATGTTAAGTTTCAATAGCCATCAAATTTTGAAGCAGCTGAAGCCACATAACAGAAAGAGTAGAGCTCAGCCAGCATGGGTCAGTGGTTAAGCATCGACCTATGAACCAGGAGGTCACGATTCAATTCCTAATCAGGGCACATGCCCGGGTTGCAGGCTCGTTCCCCAGAGTGGGGTGTGCAGGAGGCAGTCAATCAATGATTCTCTCTCATCATTGATGTTTCTATCTCTCCCTCTTCCTTCCTCCCTAAAATCAAAAAAAATATATTTTTCTAAAACAGGAAAAAAAAATAGATCGTTTCTGTACTTCCATTTCTAAATTCTAAGCCCAGTTTTGCCAAATGACCTATTTGACTTTAAGAAAATATCTGCAGGTCTTGCTTTCCACATATATAAACTGGTAGCATTCTAATAGGATACTATTTAATAAAGTTCTCTTCCTACTCTAAAATTGTACAAGCTAATCCGTTTAAAGAATTGCAATCACAAGTAATTTGAATGCAATACATTTTATCACACAATCATTTCTGAGTGATTATTAAGAGTTAAATGGAACTACACAAAAGTTTTAGTTATATTTCTAAAAGAAAATATGAAGTTATATGTAATCTTAAAAGTACTCTTATGTAACTTTAAAGCACTATTTTAACCCAATAGGGAGTGACAATTTCAAAATTGGAAAAGGCCTTCAAAGTCTTGGTTAAACATTATGTCACATGTAGCTCATTCCACCAAACTGAGACAAGCCTCTGCCTTAAAGATAGGTAAGTGAACTCTCACCTGATAGAAGCCTGAGTCTTTGAAAGCCTTGAGCAGTAGGCCCTTCAAATATCTTAATCTCACCTCAGGCTTGAGGCTGTAAAATCACCTACTTTTCTATACCCAAATGGTGATGGGTAAATCCCTGTAAACAGTAAACATATGCTAAGAAAAAACTGTTTATATTCCTTGAACTGCATTTTAAATAACGTGAATGTTTATTAAGTATTAAATATACTATAGCTGATAAAAGCAACACAAACACTGGAAGTACACAGTTAGCAACTGTTAAAGTAAATACAACAAATTATTATAACATTATAGGTATTAAGTAAGAATTCCATTTTAAGTTGTATCCAAGAGGCAGAGTAATGGTTAAGAGCCAGTCTGGAGCTTAACTGCCCAGGTTGGCATCTCAACAATACCCTGTGATCTTCCTGTGTGTATTCTTCCGTGAGAATTCTTGAGCCCTATTTCCTGGTATGTAAAACAAACGACAGCATCTGGAGGTTTTATGAATATAAGTCAGTCAGAGAAAGACAAGTATCACATGATCGCACTCATATGTTGGAATATAAGTAACAAAATGAACTAATGAACTGAGTGGATCCAGAGACTCGAAGCATGGAACAGAGTGTGGAATCTCAAGAGAGAAGGCGGGGGACAGTGGGTGGTTGGGTGGGAGGTAATCAACCAAAGACCTTGTATGCATATATGCATAACCCATGGACACAGACAATAAGGTACTGAAGACCTGGGGGGAAGAGGGAGAGGAGTACATGGAGGGGGTCAATGGGGGGGGAAAAGGGTACATATGTAATACTTTCAACAATAAATAATAATTTTTAAAAAAGAATATGAATTGACACCCTCAAAGTGTTTGGAATAGTGCCTAGCACAATATATACTCAATAGGTGCTAGCTATAACTATTATTATTACCCCTTTGGGCCACACACCAGACTCTTAGGAATCCAGAAGTGTGACCCTATCTAACAGGAAAAAATCAACATCAAAACAAATATTTGGCCCTAACCACTTTCGCTCAGTGGCTAGAGTGTCGGCCTGCGGACTGAAGGGTCCCAGGTTCAATTCTGGTCAAGGGCATGTACCTTGGTTGCGGGCACACATCCCCAGTAGGAGGTGTGCAGGGGGCAGCTGATCGATGTTTCTCTCTCATCAATGTTTCTGTTTCTAATTCTCTATCCCTCTTCCTTCCTCTCTGTAAAAAAATCAATAAAATATTTAGAAAACAAAACACAAATATTTGCACGTGATGTATTTTTCAGGGCAATGATGATTACTTTTATGGGCAACTTAACTGGGCCCCAGGGTGCCCAGATTAAACATTATTTCTGGTTGTGTCTGTGAGGGTGTTTCCAGATAAGACTAACATGTAAACCAGTGGACTCAGTAAAGTACATTGCCTTCTCCAATGTGTGTGGTCATCAGCCAATCTGCTGAGGGCCTGATAGAATACAAAGTAGAGGAAGGAAAATTCATTCTGCCTACCTGATTGAGCTGGAACATTGGTCTTCTCCTACCAGGCTGGGACTCACACCATCGGCTCCCCTGGTTCTCAGACCTTTGAACATGAACTAGAATTTCACTGCCAGCTGCCCCAGATCTCCAACCTTCCTAATAGTGTGAGCCAATAAATCTCCATCCATATCTCCTGCTGGTTCTGTTTCTCTGAAGAGACCTTACCAATCCAGGACTCCTAATGTTTTACCAATTAGCACACAAATTCAATAAAGATAACCATATCAATCAATCTTTTAAATAAATAACAGATGTATATGGTTCAGAATTGCAAAGTTAAAAAAAGAGGATATACTGTAGAAAGCCTAAGGTAGCACTGAAAAATTACAAGTAATTTTTGGTATTGCTCAAGCTCAAAATATAAAGCTAAGGTAAAAAGGCCAGAACATGAAGGAACTTATATGCCACTTAAGGAACTGGGACTTCATCCTATATGTGGAGAGCTGCATATAAGGCACTCTGAGGATATTCCAAGGGGTTGGGGGAGGAGGGAAGCCATTTAAATCAGGAACCTAAATCCTTGAAGATGGAAGGGTTTTCATATACCATGAGAGACAGAGAAGTCTGTTCCATAACTGTGCTAATTAATGTCATTTGGGAAAGAAACACATTGGAAATTTCCTGAGGATTTTTTAAAGTTATTTTCTTTTAATCTGTTCTCTTTATCCCTCCTTCCTTCTTTCCCTTCTCTATGTTTAGATTTCCATTGCTGCATTCAGACACCAAGAGATAGGCTGAGCTGACCCCTTCCACTGGGTACTTTTTGGAGGAATGATTGCAGAACTCCAGACATGGAGTTGCTCACCAAACACTTCTGAGAAGGAGTATAGCACAGAGGGTAAATTCACCAGCTAAGGAGAAGAACAGGATTGAGTTTACACCAAGCTTACACTTACTATTTGTGAATTTTGAGCCTCAGTTTCCAAATGTACAAAATTAAGTTGTTAAAAATAATATTAAGCAGCTGACATTTAGGGCACATGCACTCTATATGCCAGGTACTATGACAAATCCCTTTTGTGCACTATCTCATTTAATCCTCATAATAGTCCTAGAAGGTCAGTTCTGATAAAATCCCCGTTTTACAAATGAAAAAACAACAACAACAAAAAAACCTGATACTTGATTTGGCCAAAGCACTTGCCTAAATCACAGTATAACTAGTAGTAAAGCCAGAGTTCATCTCCAGATATTCGTGTCAAAACACACCATGATGTGATATGATCAGAGTATTATGGCGCAAGCTTTAAACATTGTATTATTAATGCCAAAGATTGCATTTGTTATGGCAGGCACACCATAGTGCAATACTGGCTCCACTAATTTAAGGCCTACTGAAACCTCCTGGTCTTTTTCTAGTAAATTGCTATTAAATTAAATCTTCCCTTGTGGGAAACCGCCTATTGTCTTCTCTAGCAGAGAGGTGTGGACAAGGAGCCTGGAATGCTGGTGACCCTTGAAACCCTGGCAAAGGTCAGGGCTATGCGCCCACTTATAGTCCAGACAATGGTAGCTGAAGCAACTTCCCCACCAGATAGTTATGTAAATCCTTACTGATAAGATTGTCTATTACTGGAACTTGCCTGCCTAAGGGCTATAGGTGTATCCCAAACAGAATAAAAGGATGGCAAGGCCTGAGCAGAGGTGGAGTCCTTCTTCTTGGGATGGGATCCCACCTGGCCCCCCAATTTCCAAATTATGATTTCTTGTCTCTTCTCTTTCATTTGTGTGCGGCCCCTCTTCCAGAGCCCGAACCCTGAACCACATGGGGCGTGGGGAGACATTCATATCTGGCGCCCAATGTGGGGCATCTGGAGAAGACTTCGCCTAGAGCGGAAAAAATGAAGAATTCACCGGATAGGTGGAGACACCAGATAGGTGGGGATATTCACCACACGCAAAGCCCACCGTCAGCTGCAGAAATCGCAATCTGTAAGTAGGGTGGGAACGTGTCTTCTTAGGCAGGCTAGTGGGGCAGAATTCAGTTAAAAAGTAAGAAACTTTATTGTAGACTTTTGATTTGCATGCTTAAGGAATTAAAGTTTCAAAAGGTATTCTCTTACAGTTTTTGCTCGATGCTATAGAACATAACCCTTGGTTTCCTGAAGAAGGTACATTAGATCTTGAATGTTTGGCAAAGATTGGGTCAAAATTTGAAAAAGCTCGGCAGCACAGAAAAAACTTGCC